AAAAAAAAAAAAAAAAATCCAAGTATCAAGCTATTTTCTCCTATCCCGGCAAAAAGAAAAAAACGAAGCTCTCCTGGGAGTCAAGACTCCAACACGTGACAGTGACTGTAGTTTAGAGTCAGCCACTGATGGCTCTGAATGGGAAACTGAGGCCACAGAGAAGCCACACACCCTGTCCCACCGCAGGTGGGGCCGGGAGACCCCTGAGAGGAGGGCATTTCCCCTTTGCTGTGCTCAGCGCAGATCAGGGCAGTTGTCAAGGCCACGGGGCACGGAACCAACACCCTCAAAGAGAAACGGGCGGCCCTGCCCAGGGGGATGTGCAGGGGGCACTGGAATGGCAGCAGTTGCAAAACTTTTCAACTCGAAGACCTTTCTACTGCAGTTAGCCGCTCTCCCATCCACTCCCTCCAGAGATTAGTTCTTTAAGGATCAACGATCAATTTACTGGAGTAGAAATAGGTGTATTTAGAGCCTTGGCAATCGTAAAGAGCTTGGAAGCAACCTTCTCATTCTATTTATTTATTTAATTTTTATTTATTTATTTATTTATTTTTGAGACAGAGTCTTGCTCTGTCACCCACTCTGGACTGCAGTGGTGGATCTCAGCTCACTGCAACCTCCGCCTCCCGGGGTTAAGTGATTCTCCTGCCTCAGCCTCCCAAGTAGCTGGGATTACAGGCACCTGCCACCACGCCCAGCTAATTTTTGTATATTTAGCAGAGACAGGGTTTCACCATGTTGGCCAGGCTGGTCTCGAACTCCTGTCCTCAAGTGATCTGCCAGCCTCGGCCTCCGAAAGTGCTGGGATTATAGGTGTGAGCCACCACACCTGACCAACCTTCTCATTTAAAGATAAAAGCAAGGCTCAGAGAAGTTAAGGAGTCTGTGAAAGGTCACACAGCTGATTCCTTAGAGCAGGGACTGCTGGTGTCTCTCTCAGTCCCAGGCTCAGTGGCAGGGGTGCCACCCGGTTATGGAGCAGGAACACCCAGGAAGGCTCCTTCTGATCACATGGAATTCGTTTGAATAGGTCTGGGGTATGGTTGGATCGGGAATCTCTCTTCTAAAAGTTCTCTCTCCCGGGATGCTGTGCAGCCAGCCTGGCCCTCGTCTTTGGGATGACGGTGCCCTGGCACTATGTGGAGAAGACACATGCCCATGCCGCCTTACTGGTGAGGCTGAAGTTATCAGGGGTACAGGAAGCATGTGATTCGCCAGGGTCTAGGTGGCCGCTCTGTACAAACCTGGCACGACCTCCATGGCTCTGATTTTAGTCGTCATCACCTAGAATTAAGGGCTCTCGTTCTTAAAATGAATGTGGTTTCTCTTTATATTTATTATTTAGCTTTTGATTCTAATGAATAGTTAATGGTCTTTGGAAGAAACAAATCTGTTTTAGATTAAGACTTTCTGTTGTGTGAAATGAGCCTGTGGGATAAGAGGTGACCTGCTCCAGACAACATGACTCCAAGTGCCCCTACCAGTGCTAGCCGGCCTGGGAGCCCAGAGGAACAGGGTGGGGACCCGCTGCCCGTGCCGCACCTGTGCAGTCTCCAGACCCCCGGAGGTGACCCCTGGAGTGTGTTACCTCAGCAGGCCCTTGAGTCCCGTGCACCGGATGTCGTAGGACACGGAGTACATCTCATACATGGTGGCCTTCACGTTAAGACAGCCGATGAAGTCCTTGGGGTTCAGCCTGTACAAGTCGAAGGTGACTCTTGCTATTCCCGACCTCTTCGGCGGTGAGCAAGTGGGGACGTGCTTGCTGCCCTGTGACAATGGGGAGAGGGGCAGGTTTCAGGAGCCTTCCTAACCCTCCCATGTCATCACTCTGCTCTTTTTTTTTTTTGGAGACGGAGTCTCGGTCTGTC